CTTTTTCCTTCCCTTGTCTCAAAAAGGAGGGGAAAAGATGCCAGAAAAGGCTGTTTGTGTTGGAATTCTGTCTTGTAAAACTCATTCAATCATTTTTTTCCAATTGGGATTTGTTCTTCTCTCTCGGGGTTCCCGGCAGCATGTCCCTAACTAAGCAGGGGTGTGGGGGCACCTTCTAATAAACCAGGCCAGGGATCCCGAGGAAGATGAAGGCCATCCGGGGGACCCCCAGCAAGGTCTGCAGGTGTTTCTGATCATCCTAACTTGGAGGAGGAGGTGACTACTGGCTCAGGTTGGTTTGTAGGGATACTGCTGACTGAGGGAGTACTGGGCAGCCCCCCACAACCAAGAATCATCCAGTCCCAAATGTTATCTGGTCTAAGTGTCAGATGCAGTCAGGCTTCAAAATAACTCATACAGGAACATGAGAGGCTTTTTGGGGACCTCACACAAACACTGCTTTGCGGCTTCCTAATCCCACTTCCCCTTCAGTCCAGGGTCCTTTCTATAAAAACAGCCACTGAAGGAACCCCTGGTTCCTTCAGGAACCCCTGGCTTTCTGGTCTGGACAGCCTTCCCCCGTTTTCTTACCGGCATGGACCTAAACAAATGTCGGAAGGGGAAGGAAAGGTGAAGGTAGCTCCAGGAATATTTCAACAAGGACCCAACGATGATAAATGAGTGGAAATGTGAAAGTGAGTCTTGGAGAGGGTCTGAGTATGGTCACTGTGACCCAGGCCTCAGCTTTGTAAGCCAACCCGCTGCCCATGCTTCCTTCTTATATTGAGGAACAGGAAGCTGGGGGACACCAAAACAGAATCTCCTCGCAACAGTCTCAACAGAGCAGACGACAAAATGTTATTGACAAATACCACTGTGGATGGTTTGCATGTGGCCAGAAGATTCCAATCATCTTACTATTACACCAAGACAAGGTCAAAATGAAGCGTTGGGGAGCCCCGGCATCAGTACCCCCCATCCTAGCTGCATATGGGCCACCACCCCAGGAGTTTTAAGGAACCACACAAGTGTACCCCCAAATTCCAGCCTTGACCAAGTGAATATGACCTCTAAAAAGGGCTCATGGGACCTCAGCATTTGAAACTACAGAATCCATTTCTTTGCAACTGGGAAAAGGAACGACTCTAAGTGAGGTGCAATTTGTAAACTTTGCTATCAGGCAAGTCACCTGTTGTGGATTGAGGAGATCCAATCAGAGCAGCCTCTGGTTAGAAGCTAGGGGCCCTTTATGTCCCCACAAGAGACTGTTCCACTACCTTGAGATTTATTGAGCACTTGTAGGCCTATTCTAAACTTACACTTACGACTCAATTAACCTGGTAGGACAGGAATGTGGGATTACCCTCATTTTATGCCTGAGGACCTTCGGGCACATAAGCATGACCTAGTCAAAGTCATGAACCCAGTGAACAGACACAGGACTCAGTCCAAGAAACCTGGTTCCAGAACCTATCATAACTACTAGGCTTCTCATGGAGGAAACACTCCTTGACAGGTGAATGCAGCTCAGAAATCAGCCAAGTCTGAAAGCTACTCACATACTTCAATTAGCATTGTCAGGGCTGGATCGGGCCAAGCTTGCACACTGTGGATGGTGGACGGGGGTGAGCGGGAGAGCCAGCATCCCACTGATGGGCACCAGCCAGGGCTCACTCAGACCCCAGGGCCATGGTGAGACCCTCTGTCGAGTTTGCCAAACATCCAGGAGGGCCACCTTCAGATGGTCCAGCATCCACCCTCCAACCTGCCCCTCAGGAGGTTTCTTATTTTTAGTTACTACTAAATTTAGATGAAGGCTGTGGTCCAGCCTGCCCATTGTACAAATTTTCTCAACTGTTTACTTTTCTATTTTATCTGCAGCTGTCTGTGGATACTGCTTTATCTCAGTTTCTCTATGGAACAAGCTTTCAGGTTATTTTATCCTGTTTACTTGCTTCCCCTTTTATCTTTCACTGTTAAATGGGGACCGGGAAGTGGTAGCAACCAGAAGGCAGACAGGCTGAGCCCCAGGCAAAGGGCGGGCAGTCTGCTTCCCTCCAGTCAATCCGGCCTGCCCTGCCCCGCCCTGCATGCTGGGGGTTCCACTGGGACTTAGTCACATGGAAGCCAATTTAGAACCCTTCCAGGACACCCCACACCACAATTTTCCCTTCATGCTTTCTTTTTGAATCGGTTGGATCATCAAATTTGTCTGAGGAGACTTTGTTCTGAAAGGGTTTTGATCATTGCAAAATATTTAAAGATAAAACAACTTAAAAGAACTAACCAAAATGTAAGTTTGAGGAACACATCAAGTCCCACTTATCATCAGAAAGCTCAGCTTATCTAGCTCAAAGATTGGCACCCAGGAAACACTTAACAAGTGTCAGTTCCAAGTGATGATCATTTCTTTGAGGGGGGAAAAAAGGGCAAAGGGATGAATAAATCTTTTAAGGAGGATTCCAAAGTGGAGGTTTAATGTGTTTAGAGCAACAGTAGTCAGGGCAGATTTAGTACACGCATGGCCTTCAAAGGTGTCTGGGCTAAAGGAGGGAACACTGGGGCGGAGGCAAAGGTCAGTTATTAAGTTTAGAACTCCACCCTATCAAAGGAAGCAGCAACTGCATATACAGAATAAACTGATTTTTTTCTAAAGCAGATAGCTATATGCAATTCTATTTTTTAACTAATTTTAATAAAATGTTTCTCTAGTTTGCAAGATGTACATGTACACGCAAAATGTTTTTAAAAATAAGAAATAAATACACCAAAATATTAAGTGACAGCAAACTTTATCTGTACAAGCCCTGACAGTCAATATTTTTGCTTTTCAGCGTAAGTCTCCATCACAACTACCTGGCTCTGCTGTCACAATGGGAACACAGCCACAGACAAGAGGCAAGTGCACAGGCAGGACCCTGCGCCAATAAAAAACTTCATTTACAAAAACAAGCCAGGAGCTGATTTAGCCAGTGGGTCCTAGTATGCCAGCCCCACCCAGCTTTATAACTCAAACAAAAGGCTCAGAGAAAAAACAAAACTCAGATAAAGTTGAGTGTACATTGTTGTCTGGAGTATGTGCATGAGACCTTATAAAATCCCTTCAATAACCAAATCTAACCCAATATATTACCTCATTCAAAGTCTAGGTACAGAAACAAGTGTGAACTTTGCTTTATGGGAGCGAGCCTGCCATCTGGTGGTGACAGAGGAGAACAACAGCCCTTGTGGTCCCCACCTTCCTTGCTAGGGTAAAGGGCTCATTTGAGCTCCCGGGTTGAGCGCTGGGTTGCGAAGCTGCCCGCAGCCTCTGCAGTGCCGGTTTGATCCCCGGCTGCTCCCCGGCCACCGGAGGAGGGTCCCACATGGCGCGCAGACCTCTCCTGCCGCCCGCTGCTCCCCTCAGCAGTGTACTTCGGTGCTTCTGCTTGCCCTGCTCCCCTCCCGCACTTCTGACTGTGCCCAGTGCTTGTATGAATGAATGAATGAATGAATGAATGAATGAATGAATGAATGAATGAATGAATAAATCTTTAAAAAACAAAAACAAAACAAAACAAAAAAAATGTGATAGGGGTGTGGGTATCACAATGGTGTAATGAACCAGAGAAATGAGAGTAACTCAGTCTGCTCGATTCTCTGAAGCCTCAACTTGTCCAGTTCTTCCAGGGAGCCAGCAAAGGCAAAAACTGAGCAACCGCATGGTATTTGCTTGCTTACCAAGCCAAGCCTCAGAGGGAATTTGAAAAACAGTGGTGAGGCAAAAACACACTGGGGTTCTGAAACTGAAGCCTTTTTTCTAGCCCAACATTTTTTTTCAAAGGTTTATTTATTTATGAATACAAGAGCTGGGGTATAGGCCAGAGAGGGTGGGGGGGGTGTGAGAGGATTCACCAGAGACAGAGTGGGGAGCAGAACAGGCAGACTGACTGAAATACACTGCTGAGGGGAGCAGCGGGCAAGGCAGGAGAGGTCTGCTCCCCATGTGGGTTGCTCCCTGGCCAGCTGGGGGTCGAACTCATGCTGCAGAGGCTGCAGACTGTTTCATAGTGCAGTGCTTAACCCTTGCACCAGCAGGGAGGCCCCTAACCCAACTTTTTTTTAAAGAAAAAACAAACCCCAACTTACAAAATCAACCCCAAATCAAGGTCCAGGTTCAAAGAGAAACAAACAAGGGCACAAGCTGTTCACTGTTGGCTCATTCACAGACTCACTCACTGATCAAGAATGGGGGACCTAGGAGCCAAGTGTAGATAATGATGTAAGCCCTGTCCCAGGAAACAGACCAGGATCCGTGGGAAGATACCGCTGCAGAGTACTGGGGCCCCAGCAGAGGACACTAGCTCTGTGGGATCCCAGAATGGCCACGGGTGGTGCAGGGAGGCTGCAACCTAGTTCTTTTAGAAAGAGCACAAGGTTCCAGGAGGGTGAAGAAAACAGTGGAAACAAGAAGAGCAGCGGATGGAGAAGATTCCTTCCCCTCCATGAAGAAACATTCAGACTCTAGGTCAGAGTCCAAGAGAAAAGTGGACGATTTCTCTAGACATCAGCCACTGGGGGGCATCTCCACTCATGTCTCTCTCACACAGCAGACAAAGTAGGACTAGAGGGCTTGGAGGGTGGGGATATGTAAGGCAGGGGTTGGACAGAGAACCCCAGAACTTCCTGTGACTCCTGAGCCTTCTGCATCTACACATCCCCATCCATCACCAAGGCACAGGGCCTCCACCCATGGGTCTCTCTCCAAACTGACCAACAGCAGTAAAATGGAGAGGTGTCCACAGGGGTAAGGGACACAGAAGAGAAGCTATTCCACAAGAACAAAGTCCACGGCCCCTTTGAAATGGACACGACACCCACACTCCCCACAGTTCATGTCACACACACATCTTACATTCCCAGACCCAGGGAGACCCTGAAGTGCATGGGTTGCATGATCAGTTGCCCAGACGCTGGCTGGACCAGCGCAGCCCAGGGTCCAGGGTGAGGCGCAGCCCTACCTGGGTTGCTGGTGAGGAAGGCCAGGGGGCTCTCGCTGAGGTCCACGGAGCCGTCCACTCGGTGGGGCGGGCTCTCCAGAAGCTCTGCTCCTCCCTCCAACTCAGGGTAGGTCCTCACCAGGAGGTCCAGGGAGGGCTGTGTGAGGAAATCTTTGAGCATAGATGAGTTCAGAGTATCAGCAGCACAATTATTGATCTCGAGAATCTCATCTCCCGCTTTCAAACCTGCCAATGCAAGATGAAAATGACTCATTTCACACACACACACACACACAAAAGCAACAGCAGCAGCAGCAGCAAATCAAATCACAGCACCTCGGAGCTCAGCTGCAGAGAGTGCGCTGAGCTTTCCGGCTCTGCCCCACCCTCCTCCCCAGCTGCCACATACAGGCCAGAAGTAATCACCAGTTGGGCACATGGGCCTCAGTTTCGAAAGTTCTAGACTTGGAGCTTACAGCATGTCTGTCCTGCACATACACTGACCAAATAAATTTATCCCTTCTTGAATCTATGTCTTCAAGGTATCTGCCAATTTCTCCTTGCAAATGCCTACTGTAGCTACTCCCTGCAGTATTAAGAGGAAGGAGTGTCCACTGATGACCATGGTATGACTAACACACATACGCTGCAGGGCACACATGAGTCCCAGCCAGTTAATGGCTATCAATCATTTCTATGGAACCAAAATGCACTGTGCTTCCTCTGGCGACCACTATGGACACTCACCTATTCCACATGTACAGACAAGAGTTGACAGAACCAAATGCAATCATTTTTGTCCTTTTCTTCTTTTTTGACTACATCAGTTAATCTATTAGGCTAAATATCTTTTAGAGGGTCCCCAAAGGTTCCGCTACTTTTGCAAAGCGAGCAAAAGGGGGCAAGGGGTGGTTTGCTGAAATTTGGAATCCAAAAGAGCCATCCTGAACGAGCTCAACCTAGAGGACCAGAAAGTAAGAAATGACCCCAGGAGAGCTTAACCCAGCATGAAAAGAATGTTCCAGAAGTTTGAGAAAGGGAGAAATTAGGGGAGAATTTGAATGGAAATAAAGAATCCTTTCTGCTGAGAAGGGAAAAGTTCAATTCTTATTTTGTAGACTAGTGTGGAAAAACAAACTTGAAAAAAGGAAGTGAACAAAGAACAATGACAAATGAGGAATTGCAGAAGCCGAAGCCGCCCCATCCCTCAGGCTTCCACAGATCCCACCTCTGATTCTGCAGAAAAATGATTCTCCAGGGACTTCTCACTTCCCAACTGCACTGAGTCACACCCCTTGGCCTTCTTTACTTGGGTTTCCAAAGTACTTGCAATTCATTTTCTATCATAAAATACTCCAAGAAACATTATGGGTGGGAAGGGAATGGAAGAGAAATGAGGATGTGTTTCTCCCTATCAGAGATGGAATTCTGAGAATTCTTTCATTTTTAGATTTTGGCGACACAGCATTTGAATGGAATATAAAATTCTACATGTGAAAAAATAGTTCATTTAAGTCTTCTCTTGAAGACAACTCTTGGCTAACTACTAGAGAAGGTAACATAAGGAGAAACAGAAGAAAAAATGTAATGACTGAAATCATCAATGAGTTTTTATTTCTAAAGTAATTCCAAGGCTGATTATGGTGGGCAAAGCAGGAGGGTGTGGGGAGTTTAACAGTGGACCCCAGAAAGACATGTCTATGTCCCAAAACCTGTGAATGTGATCTTGTTTAGAAACAGAAACTTTGGAGTTGCCATTAAATTAAGGACCCTAAGGTCATAGTGTTGGATTATCTGAAGGATCCTAAACCCATTGACAAAGTCCTTGTATGAGACATACAGAGGAGAGACACAGAGGAGAAAAGAGGAGATGTGAAGACAGACATGGAGGTTGGAGGTGTGCGGCCACAAGCCAAGAACACCTGGGGCCACCAGAGGCTGGAAGAAGAGAGGAAGGGTTGCTCCTGAAGGAAATGCAGGTCTGCTAATACCCTGATTTTGCCTCTGGCATCCAGGACAGTGAGAAAACGAATTTTTGTGGTTTTAACTCCCCAGTTGGCGGTGGTTTGTTATGGCAACCCTAGCAGACTAATCAAGGTAACTACCACATGAGTGGTATTAATAAGTAAGAAGAGGCAACTCAGCACCGGTGACCAATGGAGAGCCTCAGCGGGGTCCTGCTTTCACAACAGTACCAACTAACAAGTCCATGGCCATGGGACTGTTACTGAATCTTCCCAATCCCAGGATCCACACATGTGAGAAGGGTAGTGGGTTAAGTGTAATGAGATGAAAGTCTCCATATAAGTCTCAGCAAAGCACTTGGTAGGTTGAAACCATTCAACACACAGTAGCTCTCATTAAGTTACTAGAAGAAAGAGGAAAACTTTTCTTTCTAAATGAAAACTGCAGCCTGCTCACAAATAATCCCCAGTTGGCCAGGGAAAGAACTGGGAAGTTTCTAAGCTGGCTGCATAGTATGGCACACGGCTTGACCAAATGGGCTCTGGGCTGTGAACCATAGGGAAAACAATCCAATGGCAGCAAAGAAGATGCCCCATTTTAATCTCCCAGAGTAGAGGAAGGACTTGAGACAAGCATGCCCAAGTGGAGCAGAGGTGAGAGAAAAGTGACTCTGCTTTCTAAGAGTCAACTCTGCAAGTGGAACCATCATTCAAACCAACCGAGAGCCAAGGGCTAGGGCAGGACTATGGGATTAACTCTCACTCATAATACGCCAAAAAATCCAAGATGGCGAACAAAAATCAATAAAAACCAAGGGCAGGCTGATAGTGGGCATAGGATTCTCATCCAGCTAGGCTGCATTCCTACTGACCTCCCCGGATTGCCCCATATTCTGGTCATTTTCAGAGGCACACTGGCCCTTGGTTGGTGTCCAGCGGGCAGCGGCCACAGCTCTGTTCTGCACACTCATGAATGGCTGAAGCACTGGATGTGGTGAAGGTATAAAAGACAAGACTTAGTAGTTATAGCCGGATGGATATGACAGGTTGGTCAGAAAGAAGGAGGGACAGAACAGAGAATGGAAATTTTCGAATCACAGATGGCCCCACACAGCCTGGGCCATCTCTCCACGACAGGAGGGCTTCACGAAGTACCCCAAATGCCATCCTGGGCACAGTCCTCTACAGGTCGGGTGTTGGGATGTATGTGGGGCCCGGGGGTCAAGGGCCATACACCTGTAGAGAACAGAGCTCGAGGGGGTCGGGGGAGAAACAAACAACCACTTGTTTTTACTTAATACCAGGTTCTTGGATTCAGAGAACTAAAACAGGATGTGACTGAAACCAGCCAGTACGCTTCCCCACCCCCGTACCTCCCAAGCGGCACACTTGCTGTTGTGAAAGAGATAAAATCAGGCTTTGGGTTTGCAGGGGAATTAACCCTGTTACCTCTGCTCTTAGCTGAATCATAGCTTGAGCTAGTCCCACTCTTGCCTCAGGGCTGGCTTTGGCCTTGAATGCATGGAAGGACATGGAAGGACAATACTCCACAGGAGCGAGGGATGAATGGATTTGATTTGACTTCCCACGCTGGGTCACACCTGCACAGCCAGGTCTGCGGGCTGCCCTGCTGCAGCACCATCAGCACCGGGCAAAGAAACCTGCAGAGGTAGCTTGCAAGCCACGTGCACCCACAGCTCAGATGCTCTGAGCATGGAAGGAGGTAGAACGGGCCATGGGTCATCCTTCCCCAGGATGTTCAGCCGGCCCCTAATGAACAGACAGGAGTCTAAACACTCTACCCAGAGGCCCTTTTTCACTCAGTGGGCATTAGTTGGCCACTGCCTGAATAAAACCAAGAGTCCACAGCAAGAAGAATGAAATGAAAGCGGTTTTAAGCCCTACCTATGCACCTAAGTTTGTTTATGGGGACTTTGACAGGTTAAATAGTGTCCCTCACTCCAAAATCCATGTCCATCCAGAACATCAGAATAACATGACCTTGGGAATTAGGATCTTGATGGGTGAAGGTCATGTCATATTGACTCAGGCTGGGTCCGAAGCCCCTCACTGGTGTTCTTATAAGAAGGCACGTAAAGACACAGGCACGCACAGGAAAGATGGCTGCAGAGGCAGGGGCAGAAACTGGAGAGACGAGGCTTCATGCCAAGGGACACACCATGATGGCCAGCAGCCACCAGATGTTGGGAAGAGCCAGGGAACAGATGCTTCCCTCAGAGGTTCAGGAAGGCAACAACCCTGGCAAGACCTTGATTGCCAACCTCTGGCTCGCTGTACCGCGGGAGAATAAATTTCTGTTGCTTTTCAGCACCCAGTTTATGAGCATTTGTTATTATAGCTCTAAGAAACCAATATAGGAAGTAAAATATTTAGGGTGAATCTAGGTTGAAGATTCTCTAAGAAGAAAAAAGTGGGGTGCTGGGCATCCACAGCAGCTTAGGCTACGGGCAGGGGGTAGGGCCCTGGCAGGGTGCAGCAGAGACAGGCCTTATTTGTTTTTTTTTAAAGATTTATTTATGCATACAAGAACTGGGGTACAGGTCAGAGGTGTGGGGGTGGGTGGTGGGAGGATTCACCAGAGACTGAGCAGGGAACAGAACAGGCAGATTGACTGAAGTACACTGCTGAGGGGAGCAGCGGGCGAGTCAGGAGAGGTCTACTGTGCCATGTGGGTACTTCCCTGGCTGGCCGGGTATTGAACTTGTGCTGCAGAGGCTGCAGATTGCTTCATAGTGCTGTGCTTAACCCTTTGTGCCACCAGGGAGACCCAGAGACAGGTTTAACAAGGGGGACAAGGTGGCTGGATGCTGAAGCTTTAGAATCTCATCTTCTGCAAGGGGTCCACAGAATAAATGCTTTCAAGAAGCTCAGCAGGCTCAGGCGATGGCCAATGTCAGCTCTGGCCAGTTGAGACCAAAGCACCGAGGGGTCTTCCCAAAAGCCCTGCTCAGAAAACCCCCCCCCCAGGCCTCCAAAACTATTGTAGATGGCGGGAAAGAACCACCATCAGGATGAGATGTCCCTCCTGCCCTGGGGGCTCAGAATTATATTAAAGACCCCATACCCTGCCATCTCTTGCACCCCTGGGTTATGGACGCATATCTTTAGTCACTGGAAGGGTTTTCAACAGGACAAAGTTCAACTGCTCTGTAGAGATGCATAGCTGGGGCATCTTTCTCATCCCTCAACTAGAGAAACCCAAAAGGGCATGAAGACAGACAGACACACAGACAAGTCACTCGGTGACTTACTTACCTTTCTTGGAGGCTAAACCCGTTTCCTTTACACTGTTCACATACAGCCTTCGAACACCATCCTCTTCCACAGAAGAAAGCGAGAAGCCTGGGGGCACAGAGAGAGAATGTAGAGCTCGCGTTTGCTGAGTGTTTAGCAAACAACAGGGAAAACCTGCTGTGATCACAGGATGGCAGGGGGTTTAGAGTTTGGAGCAATAACCATTGCTTTACCATTGTTCCTTGTTCATCTTGTTCATAAACTGTGTTAAATGTATGTTTAGATCAGATTACTCCAAAAGAAGTCACGACTCACAAAAATTATATTTCTAAGTACACCTGCCTTCATATGACCTGTGGACCCGTAGCTCATCTCAACTCGCCTGGTGGGTTACAACTGAATGATGATAGGGTGTGTGCTTCATCATTTGCACGGCTACATTGAAACCGCTTTGAGTTTTTGAAAAATTCTGCCAACAGGGCTAGGCAGCAGTTCACTTTACAAATCCCAATTCATTCTGATTGATTTCACATTCTACTGGTGTCTGATCCTAAGATCATCTTACTTGTTTGGGCTTCCAGAGCTCAAAGCCCATGAGCTTGTTAATCTTGGACTTTGCTACATTCTTCAGAAGAAAAGGCAAAATGAGGCCCCAAGTCACTAAGTGGTTTGTGGGTCTTGGGCGCTCCCAATCCCAAGGCTACAAACCCTGGTCCCCTCTGCTTCTAGGAAAGAAACTCTTCTGCTGTTGAGTGCATGGAATGTCCACCACCAGGACTTACTTCCCCTCAGGATAAATTGCTTTGGCAGTTACTCCTCAAAGGATGATGGAAACAAGTGCAATTGTAAAGATCTGACATCATTTCAACTCAGGGAGAAAAATAACCCCATAATGTAGATTCCTGTCTACAGGGAAAAACTGTGGTTTAAAAACACAAGCAAATAACACCACCACAGGGTAATTAACTACAGGACGGTGGCCTAGGGGGCTAGAGGATTTTCAGGCTGTGTCATAATGAACACGTGATTTTTGTTTAGCTCACAGATCAGGAAATAGATACCCACACGTAGGCAGAACAACCAATGGCCATCGCCCGCTGTGGCACCGCAACGCCCTCAGATAGGGAGGGAATGATACAGGGCCACCCTCGGAGGACTTTCCAAAGTCTTTATTCTCTTGTTTTGAATTTCATTCTTATTAGGAACTTTTAACTTTCAAATGACATTTCAAGAGGCTTTGCTCCAAAATAAACTTATACTCTAAGCGACATCAGCCTTCATATAGGTGTGTTTGTCTCCCTTTCAGAAGAGAATTTGGTTGTTTTTATCAGAGAGAACAATTATAGAATCAAGGTGATGTCTGTCAAGAATAAGAAAAGACATAATTCATTAAAAAACAGTATTTCTTTCTAAGATACAAACCTTCTAGAAAGTTCTGAAACCAATTTTTTTTTTTTCTATTCAAAATAAAATGAGCAGGGCCTCTCTGGTGGCACAAGGGGTTAAGTCTCAGCATTATGAAGCAATTCACAGCCACTACAGCATAAGTTCAATCCCCCACCAGGGAGCAACCCACATGGCACAGCAGACCTCTCCTGATTTGCCTGCTGCTCCCCTCAGCAGTTTATTTCAGTAGATCCACCTGTTCTGCTCCCCACTCTGTCTCTGGTGAATCCTCTCACTCCCTGCACCTCTGCCCTACACCCAGCTATTGTATGCATAAATAAATAAATCTTTAAAAAAAAAAAAAAGAAAGAAATGAGTACTGGTGGGGAGCCAGACGGCCAGTGTGCCTAAATGGAGGTGTTGGGGGAGATCATGTGCTGAGCCTATTGCAAATCATCTTGAGCCAAAAACGAGACAGCTGAAGTAACCATAAGTCCATTCCTTCCTTTCTTGATCTTGCCTTGTTATTTTCTTTCAATATCTACTCTTCTGCAATTTTCAAATACGCATTATAGCATTATTAACTACATCAGCACACTGCATATTACATGTCCAGGGCTAATTATTTATAACTGGAAGTTTGTATTTTTTGATTCCAAAAACAGCAGTGGTCCAGATTTCCAGATTGGAAGCTGAATCCCAACCCAAACCCCAGCTCCTTGTTGTCAGAGTTTGAGGACTTCTGCACTTGATCTTAGCCAAAAGGCCGAGTAGCGATAGAGTTTGAGAATTTCTGAGACTTCCCAAGCGGATACCTGCTGCTCCACAAGACGTTCAGCGTGGAAACAGAAGCAGCTTCTATGAATCCTACCATCATATAGGAAAAGTAGAGCAGTGTTATGCCCGGTTTCTATTTCTGAGTCCCAAACCAGCCAATCTTAGAACTGGATCCCATGAGCTTTGAAATGCCACCTCCCTTGCTCCTCGCTACAGTCTAGTCTTGCCCAACAGAAAGTAAGTCAATTAAAGAGAAGAGAATCCTCGTCGGGGAGCATGTGACTCTGGAGAACCAGACACTGGTTCCTAGCGCTGCTCGCAGGACTGCAGTTAATTACTCAGTTAATTACTAAGTCACATAACAAGCCTTTCAGAAACATCTACCCTCTGCCAGCAAAAACACCCTCTGGCTTTGTGATGTCTTCAGTTTTAAGGTCAAAAGTGAAGAGCAGGAAGATGTAATGCAAGTGGCCAGGAGTTCAAAATCAGGGTCTCTCGCTTTGGCCAAAATGGTCTCATGAGCTTTCTGAGATGAAGACGAGCTGCCTTGGGGGGGGGATCTAAAGACAAGCCCATGGCTCACTAAGGGGTTTGAAGATTTTCCAGGCCAGGTAGTATTTACCTCTCTGGTCCTTTGGGCAGGGGTGTTCCTGGGAGCTGCTTTGGACAATGAGTTGGGAAAGAGCCCCCGAGCCACTGCACCCCCCTCCTCTTCTTCCCTCTGCCAGAGACAGTGTCCAAGGTGGCAGTACTGCCAGGCTGGTCCTGGAGTGAGAGCTCTCTGGTGCCACCAACTCACAGAGGGTGCGTTCTGGGTGGGAGAGACACGTCTCCTGCTTCTAGCCACCGAGCTTGGGTAGCTAACACTGCCTTGATAACACCCCCCACCACCACCACCAACTGCTAGGGCTTGGTGTGCAGCCCCCAGGAACTGCGCGGGCCCTGTGCCAGAAGCACAAACAGAACAGTCCAGCAGAACACTGTTCTTCTTTGAGACACCTGCATTCAAGTTTGGCCCCTGGCTGGCATCTGGGAACTTGGATTTGGGGAAGGTACCCAGCACCCTAACGTGTTCATTACAGGCTAAACTGTGGGTGCAAACAATGTGGTGCGGCTGAGCACCTGCCTGCCTCCTGGAAGCCTGGAACTTTGGTACATGTGACACAGAGGTGCCTGCCTGGCCAGACTCCCCCCAAAACTCCCAGGCACTGGATCTCACCAAACTTCCTTACTGGGCAGTATTTCAGAGATAGACATCATCACAGCTTGTTGCTGTGGGAATTAAGTTTGTGACGCACAACCAGTGGGGACGACATGACTCTTAGAAGCATGCTCCTGTCTCACTGCACTTACTTTCCCCAACTGATGCTGTTTGTGTCATTTTGCTGTAATAAATCACAGTCCTAAATATGTAATAAATCACAGTCGCTGCCATAAATCACACTGCATGCTGAGTCCTGTGTCCCCTCAATGAGTCAGCAAACCCAGGGGTGACCTTGCATACCCCCCAACGCAACAGTGACATAAAGCTGTATAACATTTTTGTGGGGGAAGGTAGAATGGTGCATATTTTTGAGGCCAGGGCAGTGAAAGGCTAATGTTTTCATTACCAGAGACATGGTATTATAAAATATTATATTCCCAATACATTCATCACCCTTTAGGATAGTGGAACCCCAGTGATTAAAGCTGGGAAATTTAAAAGTCGAAGCTGCCACTGTATCCACACAAAGTGTCTTTCTTTCCTATTTCGGTTGCTAAGCACAGCACAGAAGCCAGATGTGTTACCTGTTTTAAATAGGCACCAGAAGAGTTTATGGAATGGTAAATAAGTACATGTTTACACAGGAATTGCTTTGACTTGGAAAACACCAAAGATCAAAGAAAAATCAACGTACCATAATTATCACCAGCTGTGTCTGACTTCTCAATCTGGATGCTCTGAGTGACTTTTGGACAAATTTCAATTTCTTTGTACAGCTGGAAATTACAAAGAGGAGTCTAATTAGGATTTCATTATAAACAAGTTATTAGGAATAGTCATCATTTTGCAAATCTATTTTTTCGCAATTGATTCTGAAACACACATTCTCATGATATCCCAGGCTTTTTAAAAAAAAAAAAAAATTTATTTACTTAGGCATGCAAGAACTGGGGTACAGACCAGAGGTAGGGGTGATGAGAGGATTCACCAGAGACAGAGTGGGGAGCAGAACAGGTGGATTGACCAAAATACACTGCTGAAGGGAGCAGTGGGCGAGTTAGGAGAGGTCTGCTGTGCCATGCGGGTAGCTCCCTGGCTGGGGCTAGAACCCGTGCTGCAGAGGCTGCGGTCAGCTTCATAGGTTGCATTTTAGCCCCTTTTGCCACCAGGGAGGCCCCACATCCCAGTCTTTTCATTGAACTGAATCCATAAAGAGTCAAAGTGGAAACTGAGAAATTGTTTTCTTGAACTTAGCTTGAGGAGTTCTAGGGGCTCAATTATATCTCAGCATCACTTGGTATGTCCTTTTCTGCCCTGGGTCACGCACAGACCTGGAGGTCATGCTTAAAAAATAATCAAAAGTCTTCAGTACTGGGGGGAAAATAAAATATTAAAATCAAGAAGGTTATAAGAATATTGGGGGGGATTCATGGAAAGAGGACGAATCTCTGCTTCCCTTCTCTGCTGTTCACACACCATTTCAGCCCCCAAAGTCCACCACTGTACAAGTAGCAAGAGACAAAGGGTAACACTGAAAACGTAACAAATTACATCAGTGGAGAATATTCTCCATTAGCAACTGAATTATACCAAAATTAACTAGAAAAGTTCAAGGGCATAAATGAATCAACTCTCCAGAAAGCCAAGAAAGCCTGGGGAAAGAGACCAGAGAAACATGTAGTTCAGCTATCAGGAATTTTATTTCATTAATGTAATTTAGTTGCTATTTCTTCTTCATATCTGGAATTGTCGACCTCACAGGCAATAATGTATGGAGGTTTTACTATATCTTTTGCCCTTCACACTCATGCTATTAAAAGATAACTGTGGGGCCTCCCTGGTGGTGCAAGGGGTTAAGCATAGCACGATGAAGCTATCCACAGCCTCTGCAACACAAGTTCAACCCCTGGCTTGGGAGCTACCCACAAGGCGCAGCAGACCTGTCCTGTCTCCCCACTGCTCCCCTCAGCAGTGTATTTCAGTAGATGTGCCTGTTCTGCTCCCCACTCTGTCTCTGGTAAATCCTCTCATCCCTGCACCTCTGGCCTACACCCCAGTTCTTGTATGCATAAATAAATCTTTAAAAATAAAAAAATAAATAAAAGACAACTGTGATCCCCATTTTACAAGGTCAGAGAGAAGCACTTCCCTAGGACCATAAAGCCAGTATGGGCAGCGCTGGGATATGAACCCAGGACTCTCTGGCTCCAGAGCTGAAGTTCTCGCCACCACATAAAGCACCCCCAAGCTGCCTCCTGGTGGAACAGGCACAAAGTAAAGGAAAACAACATCTTAGGTGAGTAAGCAAAAAGCCCCTTCCAAAATATATGACAAAATTGCCAAAACAAATAAATGTGTCCGAAGCTCATATGGAATTCAAAAACATCATTGAATTTCAAATGAAAATCTACTTTGAGCCAAGGGCAAAAATGGAAAGCTGTTTTTTTAGTGATAATCTCAGCTCACCCCCATCCCTGACCACAGAGCCATTCATCCAGAGGCAGTGTCTGGGGGCGGGTGGAAAAGAACGCCTCGTCTTTCTCGTCTCTCGCTTAGGGCAGCAGACAGATGGGGTGGGCGAGCATCTCACTCACGATTCCGGAGCCAAGAAAACAGACTGCTGGACAGGGGTAGGAAGCTGGACCCCTAGAATGCCCTAATTAAATGAAATTTCTGCCAAATGTACAATAATATGGTAAGGACATAATTTAAAGTGATTTTTTTTTCATACTTCTGAAAAGTTTTCATACAAATTCTGAATTTCGAAGAAGTCAATTATAACACTGATCTCCAATTCAAAAAAGCCACCCAAATTATAAATGCCAAATAGAATGAGGTTTATGATGTATCTTTTTTTTTTTTTTTTCTTCATTTACTTATACAAGCACTGGGTACAGTCAGAAGCGCAGGAGGGTGAGAGAATTCACCAGAGCCAAAGCGGGGAACAGAACAGGCAGACTGACGAAACACACTGCTGAGGGGAGCAGCGGGCGCGGCAGGAGAGGTCTGTCACACCATGTGGGACCCTCTCCGGGGGCGGGGATCGAACCGGCGCTGCAGAGGCTGCAGGCAGCCCCGCAGCACAGCGCTCAACCGCTGCGCCACCAGGGGAGGCCTATGATGTATCTTGTCACACCGCCCTATGCTCGCTCAGCCTTGTTTGGGCCTTAGTTTTATTTTTTAAATTTCTTTGCAAACCACACTGCTCCTCTGGGTGGCAGTGTATCACTGCTTTCATCATCTCTGGAAACTCCAAGTTCCCATGGAGATAGAATCTTGTGAAGAATCTTTCCTATTCAAGACTACCTCTTATTTTTCCTTGTAATTGGTGTGAAAGTCTTCATTTTTTTTTTTACAGTATCAGTATAATATATATATGCCACTGGGCCACGGTCCTTTCTTCAGCTGGTAAGACTAAAACTGAGGTTAGCAAAAAAGCACTAATAAAAAATAGAAAATTTCAAGAGGGGTCTGTGCTTTAAAATGTATTTCCACTGCAACCACTATATCCAAAACCAGAAATTTTGAAATGTAGTAGTTTTATACGAAAGCATTTTTAACAAAATGTCTCACACATTCCGTTTATTTTATTAAGTCAGTGATGATGCATGTTTTCCCTCATTTCAAAACACAGATGAAAAAATCATCAAACTTTAGGAAACAGTTTGATTACCCAAGTCCTTGAGTTATCATGAAACTGCAATCATTTCTTACCATGTCTCCTTTCGGACCCGGCTCCCACCACCATCAAGGCCCACTGCCTGAATAACAGCCCACACTAGCTTCTGCCTGGGTCCTGGCTCCTCTCTAACCCCTCAGGCCCACATCAGCACCAAGAGACTATGGAAACACACAGCCAACAATGTCCTCCCTCTCCTGGGATTTCTCTTCTCCCAAAACCTGTCCTGCCTGCCCTTGTTGCCTAAACCCCCGACCACTTACCCTGCCCACAGCCCTACACACACACCCCAGAGACACCCAGTTCACCACACAAAGACATGCACCACACTCACACCAACCAGACACACCAGCACAGACACACATATGCAACACACACACACACAGACACGAGATTGAGCTACCTCCACTGTCGCTCCTCCTGCCAGGGCCTGACAAGACCTCCTCCTACCTCTATGAATCACATGTGTAAAAGAGCAGCACCGACTTCCGGATTCTCTCTGCCCTGACTCTTTCTGATTTATCACACATTTACATGTTCTTCAAAAATATTTTTAAAACATTTTTATATGTGTGGATTTGTCTCTGTAAATTTGAATGTCACTTCTACAAAGAGCAATGATTTTTGTGTGCATTCAAGGGCCAAGACCAGCTAGAATGGTACCAGGAACACCAAAAAAAGCTAAATAAATATGATTGTGTTTCTGCAAATGAGTCCTGTCACTTTAAGAAAGTCACAATTAATGTGAATTTTTGAAAAGCCAGGTCTCCATATTCATTATCCTGCCATGGACTGGACCCAACCACCAACTAATGATGAAAAAGTAACAAACAGGTATTACTTCTATTAAAACATAACCAACAAAGCAGCCACGTAGATTGGTCATCCCTAGTAAGAGAATCTTCTGCCCTACCAAATAAACATACTGGACCCCCTCCCCACAAAAAAACCTTAAAAACCCAGTATCATTTTTGCTAACAACTGTTGACCTTGCTACTAAAGAATATTTGAGGGCTTCCCTGGTGGCGCACGGGGTTAAGCACCGCACTATGAAGCAATCCACAGCCTCTGCAGCATGAGTTCGATCCCCGGCTGGCCAGGGAGCTACCCACATGGCGCAGCAGACCTCTCCTGACTCACCTGCTGCTCCCCTCCGCAGTGTACTTCGGTCAATCTGCCTGTTCTGTTCCCCACTCTGTCTCTGGTGGATCCTCTCACCCCCCACATCTCTGTCCTGTACCACAGCTCTTATATGCATAAATAAATAAATAAATCTTTAAAAAAGAGAATATTTGATAAATAATGGCAGAGAACAAAATATTTAGGGGCAGCCAACTATGATGTTGTCTGGTGTGAAGACATGAAGTCTCCTTGTCCATCCCAAATAAAATGGCGGTCACCATTCCACCCACTAACCACGGATGGATGGGTTGGTGACCGGCCCTTAGGGGACAATGAACCGATAACCAGTTGATCAGCCAGGAATATTCCTTTCGTAGGAATAAAGCATTTTCTTTCCCCCAGTACATGGGGCAGGAAGTCACAGCTCATGGCCATGTCAGAGAGAAATTAAATCACCACTCTCTGGTGAAAGCACCCTCCTCTGACAACACTTACTGGTTTAAATGATCATGGAACAAAGTCTTGTCATTTTGACCTTCTATGGCCTGATGGGACAAAAGTGGGACAAAAAGTGCCTCTTCTCTTTCATAAAAACACTTGAAGATCCACAAGGATGTCACTGAGGATGACAGAATGTTCTAAATTATTACTATAGTGCTGGAAATACAACTGTGAACATTTGTCAGAATTCATCAAACTATGTAATTAAAATTGGTGAGTTTTACTTGGCCACAAGTAAATCTCAAAAACATTGATTAAAAACAAAATTCCCTACTGCATTTGAAATCACGTTTCCGTTTTTCAAAAAGAGAATATTCACATTTCAAGTTTCAGTTCTGCTTTCTGCAGTAAAGCTGGGTCTGACGTCATACTGCTATCCTTCACATCTCCATGGCAACAGGCTCTGAGGCCCCCAGAGGAATGACTGGAGCCAAGAGAGAGAGAACAAACTCCAAGAGAGGCTCCTTGCCCCCAGCATTTCTTTCCTGGAACCCAGAACTGCACCAGTACACCAATGCAGAAGGAACCTGGCACTGTTTTATTCCCATCACCACCATTTATTGAGCATCTACTTTGTACACTGTTCAAATCTTGGCAAAACCCTAGAAATGAAGTATCATCACCCGCTTTGTTTTTTGGCTATCCCACATCACTAATAAGCACTCCCTCATCTCTACTACCATGAGTGAGTCCCACAAGGGACGCAAACATACACCCATGGCCCCAACATAACACCTACAATCGCTTGGGGCACAGAATCAGATGCCAGCTCTCCCACCCATCAGGACGCAGCCCTTGGCTTTGCCTATGCAGGTAAAGCCACATCAAATCATAGTTAGTGCTTTTTCCCTGATAAGAACCAGCAAGGCCTCCCTGGTGGTACAAAGGGGTAAGTCTCAGTACTGCGAAGCTATCCGCAGCCACTGTAGCACGAGTTCAATCTCTGCCCAGGAAGCTACCACAGACATCTCCCGTCTCACCTGCTGCTCCCCTCAGCAGTGTATTTCAGTGGATCCGCCTGTTCTGCTCCCCACTCTGTCTCTGGTGAATCCTCCTCTCACCTCCTGCATCTCTGGCCTGTACCCCAGTTCTTGTATGCATAAATTTAAAAATAATGAAAAAAAAAAAAAAAGGACCAGCGAGCTGACCTTTGTGCTGGAAATCAAAAACCAAAAACAGTGAAGAAATAATAACTAGTATTTTGAGAGTCTGCTCTGGGTTTCAGATTTTCTGGCCAGTACAGCATGGCTCCTTGCATCAGCAAAACCAGCGATTCTACCCTGAGGAAATGCTCCAATCAGCAAGGCCCTCTCCACCGGAGAAGACAGGACCTCGCCAAATGAGGCCCATTCATTTCCGAATTCACTCCACTTCACCAGCCACCATTAGCACGAGCACACATATAATTTATAAATAATCTCCCCCAGAATGATCTTGGACAATAGTCATAAACATTACCAGCTCATAAATGTCCTCCTCGGGCTTGGGAATGTAGTCTTGCATTTTGTTTTCTATTAGGAACTTCAGGCGCAGGTAATGAGTAGAAGGATCCAGCTGGTGTGTCTGGGACAAGAAAAGAAAGGACATTTCTGTTCATTAGCAAATAGGAAGCAGCAGCCAACAGGTCATTCTTGAGCTCACTGCATTGTCATGGGCTCCACTGAATACTGGTGAGGGTGTGAGGCTTCTATACTTCTTAAAAGATTTATACCCCAAACTCAAACTTGAAAATGATTTTCACTGAACATTCTGCTAATATTTGCCCCATGGGTATCTGTATCTTATGATTTAATGCCAACAACTAAGTCACTTCTTCACTGCTGCTCATCTGACTCCTTATTCTCTTTCACAAGGACTTTGCAACAACACCCATCACATCACATCAAAGAGGCCCAAACATACATAGGTGATTAAAGGAAAAGGATCAGCAAGACAAGATAGTATTTAAAGTGATAGAAAAAAGCTGTGTCCAGGCCCAGTTGCTTTTATACCCAAACAGGGACCCTGGGACAGTTGTTAACAGCTCATTTGCAAGTGAGTCGGTGTGAAAACTAAGCATTTGGATGTCAGTCTTATTTACATACACCCAAGCAAGACTCCCTCCGGAGGCAGTGTAGACAGGCATGGATCCAAGTTGGGAAACGCACTGAATGACTTCCCCAAAGAAAACAACTCTAAAATAGTTATAGATTCAAATTTCCAGTCCTCCCTTGGCCCAGGGTGAGTCAATTAAATTTTTCATCTGCAAATTAACCTCACAGAAAAAGCAACTGGGGCAATACAGTTTTATAAATAATGACATTCAAGAAGATTCAAAGAAAAGAGTAAGAAAATGCTTCTCAAAAGTTACCTGGCAACCCAGAAAATGTCTTGGTAGAGAGAAAAAGTTTAAATCAAGTCACTTTTAAAAGGCATCCTTCTCGATGTGGTACATATATACCATGGAATATTACTCAGCATTCAAAAAAGATAAACACATGCAACTTGCAGCAACATGGATGGCACTGGAAGGGATCATGCTCAGCGAAATAAGCCAAAAAGAAAAAGAAAAATACCGGATGGTCTCACTCATAGCAGGAATCTAGAAAACTTAAATAAGGGACCAGGAAAATGAATATAAGAAAGTGAAAATCAAAATCAACAAAAAACTATGAACCAGAGACACTTTTTGGGGGTGGGGGGCGGGAGGGAAGGATTGGGGTCAGAATGGGGCGTTTGCAATTGTATGGGGGAATATAAAAATAAAATTTAATATTTAAAAAAAAAAAATAAAAAAAATAAAAGGCATCCTTCTCTTTCAGAGATTCACCCAAAAGTATTAACAGATAAAGAAATGATATCTGGAATTTGCTCCAGAATAATCCAAAATGGGGGGGGGGGGGAGGAGATGAGGATAAGTGAGTGAATAGCCAAAACATAGTTTGATAATTATAGAATCTTTCTTAAAAAAGATTTACTTATTCATTTATGCAGACAAGAGCTGGGCTGTAGGTCAGAGGTGTGGGGGGTGAGAGGATTTACCAGACACAGAGTGGGGAACAGAACAGGCAGACTGACTGAAACACACTGCTGAGGGGAGCAGGGGCAAGACAGGAGAGGTCTGCTGCACCATGTGGGTTGCTCCCTGGCTGGGGATCGAACTCGTGCTGCAGAGGCTGCGGATAGCTTCACAGTGCTAACACTTGGCCCCTAATTATACAATCTTAATGATGTATATGCAGGACATTATTCCATTATTCTCTACTCTTTTATGTTTGACATTTCTCAGAAACTTAATATAAAATCCCTTCATACTAATATACCTACTGATGAAAATTATTTCAAAATAAATGAAATTAACTTTTCACTGTTTTAATATTCTTTCTATCTACCTTGCCTTATAAAAATACATTTTAAGGTCAAACTCAGAATATTCCAATAATTATTCTGATAACATCTCAGAAACTCCTGAGCGTGCCAGGGCCTGTGTGAGGCACTGTGAGTCTGGAAATTCATAAAACCTAGGTGCCATCTTCGGAAGTGTGACTGTGGGGAGTGGGGGCAGCAAGTGGAAGGTGGGGCAGTGGTGGTTTCGCTTTTTAAATACATAGACATGCGAGAGAGGCCTCCTGCATTATTCCAAAACACTGTTAGACATTTTCTAACAGTGATTCTTGGGAGCCCCCAGGCCTCTCCATCTCCAGGGTGTCTGCAGCTCCAACATTCCCCCACCCACCCTGCCTCTATTGGAGACCAAAAGCCCAGTGTGACAGACCCAGACTGTTGATGATAAAAAGGTGAAGGGGTGAAGCCAGGGGGGGAGCCGACAGGGAGTCTTTCAAGTGTGCTACCCACTGGCTGTGGGAAAGCCGCTGAGACAAACAAACAACATAATATTTAGGATGAAATGGTAAACAAGAAAAGTTTCCCTCACAGAGAGAGGCTGCACATGCTTCCCACCTACCCCCGTCCTCCCTGAGATCTTTAATTAGAAGCAAAGACTTTTGGTTCACCATCTGTTTCTGGCTGAGGAGGGAGAGAAAGAAATGAGGCTTCGCGGGGGCTGGGTTCACAGGAACAAATCCACTTGGAAACCTCAGCGTTGTCATCAATAAACACTCCACGGACATTCCCAGAGAGGCTGCCACAGAAACGGGCTTCTGGAAAGCAGACCCCCAGAGCAGCCTCAGCTAGAGGCTTCTGGTTCCTGATACCTCAGCATGTGTCAGAGAGAAGGTTTCTAGTGAGGCAACAAAGTATTTAAGGCAGCCCTGACGGGCACATGGAGACAGACGTCTCACCCCTCACAGGCCACAGTGCCAAGAACATTCCCATGCACGAACTGAGGACAGACAGCGGCCTGTCAGTGAGGTTCCCCACGTGAACTGTTTAACACACCAGAGAGGGGAAGAGCGACTCTGTAGCCATGGCAACATAAAGGGGCTTGCCACCCCCCACAACCACCCCCCCACTTTTTGAATTTCTTTACGTTCCTGAGAACTTTGTAATGTACAAGTAAGCACATGCAACAAACATTAAAACTTGTAACCCAGGAGGGCCTCCCCGGTGGCGCAGCGGTTGAGCGCTGGGTTGCGAAGCTGCCCGCCGCCTCTGCGGTGCCGGTTTGATCCCCAGCTGCTCCCTGGCCACCAGAGGAGGGTCCCACATGGCCCGCAGACCTCTCCTGCCGCCCGCTGCTCCCCTCAGCAGTGTACTTCGGTCCTTCTGCCTGCTCTGCTCCCCGCTCTGGCTCTGGTGAATTCTCTCACCCTCCCACGCTTCTGACTGTACCCAGTGCATGTATAAACAAAATAAACAAACAAACAAATAAATAAATAAAACATGCCTCTATTTAAAAAAAAAAAAAAACTTGTAACCCAGGAGCCCTTAGCTTGGCCAGTAAATAGTCACCCTAAAGACGGGACGTGGGATCAAGACACAGAGTATCTCTTCATTTGGGGAAATGTTTCTTAATTATGAGCCCTTGGTCATCAGGGCTGGTCTCACCAAAGAGAGAGAATCCTAAGAATTCATGCAATGACTTCTCAGTAGTAGTTTTAAACACTTGGCCTGCTTTATAACATGTGAGACATTCGAGAGAAAATTTCCTAACTCCAGGGAAACTCGGGAAAGAACGTAAAGGGTACAAATGTGTTTGCCACCCAAAATTTACTGGTTACTTAGAGAACATGTGATTCATTTTGAGACAATGCAGCTGCAAATTGTACGTAAGATAAATATTACTGTAGCGCGAGTTTCAGTTTAGTCAGCATAGACTTTTTTTTTAATTCTCATCTTCCTGTGACCACTTCAAAGGGTGGAATAGCAAAATACGATGTAGATATTTTCACTAAATCATTTGAGCCCATTAAAAATAGGTCATAATAGTCTGCCAAGTGACTGCATTTTGCTCTTTATCTTCCTGTCACATTTTTCCATTTCACTCAGACTTCTCAGGGACACAGCAGAGCATGCAGTTATCACTTACACAAGTCCATGCACACGCACAGAGTGATGCTGAGGAATTTCCAAAGATGCTCATCCTCCCCTTCAAGGTGACCTCTCATTGTTTCAAATGACAATGGTTGTTATTAGACTGCCTAAAGCCTAAAGCCCACATAGTGAACACAGGGAACAAAACTGAGCCACAGCCAATGTGAATAATATCAGTGAGTCTGAATGAAAGGATTTTTTTCCACAATTATTTTAAGTAAATGCAATGATGAGAAAACAGCACAAACCAACCAACATGGTTACCCGCTGTAATTAGCAAGTCATTCTTGTAACACCCACAACATGAATTGTACATGAAATGTAGATCTCGAAACATTTACTATACCAGGACTTGAATGATGCTCGGATGGCAGATGGCAAACTGATGTGAAATGATGTGGATCAGATAGAATAGGAAAGAGAATGAGCTGAATGCAAGAGACAGAAGAAAGAGATTGATTATTAAATATTAGGGAAAACATCCATCACCAACGTCGAGAATGACAATAAAGGAATAAAAGACAGACATTCTGACAATCACCTTTGTTTTCCAGCCCCGCCCCCAAAAGAGAGAAAAAAAAAATCACTCACCATTAATTAGATCATTAGTAACATGTGGCACTGAGTTCCCCATTATCTCTTTCCCTCTTAAGAATAAAACTGGCTCCACTAATTACAATAAAGTGTTTTCCAAAGAAGCAGCACGCTTTAGAAGACACCTGGCTCTGAGCACACTATGTAATTTATCCTACACGGATGCTTTTCCAGAGACCATCAATTTCTTAAAGTGCACCCAGAACTTTTCCATTTTTAAATTCACGAGATGTGGGCTTGTATCACACCATATTGTTCTTGTCTTTATTCTATATTTTTGGAGAAAGAGCTAAGGATCCAGGAAAAATTGGGTGGGATGACCTTTGCAAAAGGAAAGGGTGTGCCCAGATGATGCCCTCAAAAATCTTTCAAGCGACAGAAATAAACACTTTGTAGGAAAATAGGACCAGCTCATGATCGAAAAGGTTCTGTAAGATACAGGCACAGTATTAATCCCCAACCCCTTAGTGCCAATCAGAATGAAAGCTTCAACAGTACCTAAAGTGGGGCCGATCACTGGTGTCCCCACTCACTGTTCAATTTTCCAACCATCAATGGCTATTGGAAAATGCCAGCCCACCCTCCCTTTCCTGATTGCATCTGGGGCCTATGTATACAGCAGGCTCCAATGCTAATCCCTGGAAGCACCCGCCAGAGTTTGGTTTATATAAAAGAGGCCAGAGTCCTACTTCTGACACCTTCAGCTGCAGTTCTGAGAATAACTCCCACAGTTCTATGGAATATTAATGGGTCTCTAAAGAATCATGCTGATCTATAAATAAAAGAATGCAGAAATCCTCAATAGACCAATTTTGTGAAGTAATTAAAATGAAAAATGTGAACAGAAATACCATTATCTTCAAAAAGCTAGAAGTCACATCCATGAAGGAGTAAGAGCATGTAATAGTGCATCATTTATTTTTAACAATTTCGTGGGGGCTGATTTTTATCTTTGACCTGAAACAAATGCCCTTTCTCCTTTCTCTCCACATAAGACTATCTGAAAAAGCTCATTTGGGCCAGATTATTCCATGCCCCCCACTCACAGGGTCATATTTTTCCTTTATAGAGGCCCTCGTGATTTTGGGGGAGGGTAAGAAAAATTCCAAAAATTGCTGATTGTAGAATGACAGAAGGGCGGTATTTGCTGAGGTAGTGAAAGTGATCTGGGATTCATAAACCATTGTGTCAACTGAAAAGGTCTTCAAAACCACAACGTATCCCTCCAGCTTCTTCTAGAGTGATATGACGGTAGAAGTTCTCCACTTTAGCAGCCCGAGGAAAGCCCATTTCATTATCCTAAGAAAATATTCTGGATTCTTTTAAACCTTTCAGATTGTCCTTTGAGAATACTGGTTCAGGTTCTGGCTGTTCTATGACCAGGTTCCACTCTGGGGTGGGGGTTGGGGGAAGGAACTAAGCCTCCCCCAGCCTCGCTGGCCCATCTGTACAACAGGAGTATCTGTGCCCCTCAGCTTTGGCGTGACCACTCAATACAACTCCTGAAGTGTGTACTCAGGTAAAAGTAAAAGCTGGTATGAAAAAGAAGTTCCTGGCTTCTGCATTCAAGGTCAGGCATGCATCTAGCTCTTTTTCACAGTGGGAAAAAAATGAAACCAGGTTCACCTTGAAAAAAAGTCAAGATGTTTCTGCAGCTTAGGCTGGAAAAGCAGGGGAAGGGAGCATAATCATCTGTCACCAAAATAAGTAGATAAATAAGGTCTAATGATGGGTTCGAAGGTAAAGAAACATACTGTCGTGGAGGTCAAGTGTATCTATGTCAGTTCTTCTCCACCCTAAGGATGCCCATGGTGTATCAGCCGCTGCCAAACAGCAGGTAACAAACAGCATAATGTGCCATCACTAAATGTGTGTGTACAACAGATGTGAGAACACCCAAAATGTTTACAGGGTGATTTCTGGGTTATGAGCAGGTGGCCTCAATTTCTTGCTTTATTCTTGACCTAAACTTTTGAAGCATTTTGCAATGTGCATGAAATATGCTTATTACAAATCTGTCAAACACTCCAACAGAAAGATGCTACTTAGAAGAATCCCTTGCCTCCCAAAGGTGATGAATTCACGTACACTTGCTGTACTCACCATCACGCAGGAGCCCCAAGGGCTCCGAGGTGAACAGCAGGGCTCAGCAGTGCCCGCTTCACCCCACCTGCTCGCCTAAGTGTCCATGTGTGCCCGGTCCCCTCCTCCATCACCCCTTCTGCTCTTCTCCAGGAACCACCCCGAGAGCCTCCTACCTTGCAGATGAGCTCCAGAGTGTCCCGAGCAGTGTCTCCTGGCCGGACGACCGTCAGGGCTGGCTGATTATTTGGCAGACAGAACCAGGATGGAGTGAAATACTCATGGACCCAAATGTCACAGTCGGGATTGTGCTGGTGGACGCTTGGTAAGACCATTTCTTTTTCCCTCTGTAACAGGAAATCAAGTGAGCAGAGCAGCTACCGCTGGTGTCAAAACAATGCCAGAGCCCGACCCTGCACACTGGGGTTAAGTGGCCCCGTGTAAAGGATCTTGGGGAGAATAGGAGCAGTGGTGGAGGGCAGAAGGAAGCCCTGAGTCAGGGGAAGGTTCACTGAGGACCAGGCTGGGGGAGATTTCTAACCTCAGATACCAGCCAGACCCCACATGGCACGGGCATGGCACAAATGAATGGGTAGGAAAACTTGGAAGAAAGAGAGAGAAATGGGACAGCTAATCAGCTCAGCCTTGCCACTATAATTTCTTCTGCAGATCCACTTCAAATTTAGAGTCACAAATTCCTGTGGCAAGAAAACCTGCCATTTCAAAGGTAATAATGTGGCCCCGAAGAAATTTGCCAAGAGATGATGCTGCCCTAGCAATGCTTGTTTACAAAGGCCATCATTTTTGTGCTCAGATTTGATATTTGAGCCTCATCTGAAAAAGATGTGAAGACAGAAACACCTCCATTTTCCAGATGAGTCTCAGGAAAAAGTCAAGGATGAATTTTATCACCAACATGGCAAAAACCAGCCTCTGTGTTGGCACCATGCCATTTGCCATGTCAGTCTGCCTGAGGTCAGGGATGGGTACCAAGTGTGAAAGGTTGGCAGAAGACCTTTAGAATGTTGGCTTCTGGCATCTGGGTTATATCTGAACAATTAAATAGCTACTGCAGAAAACACTTGATAGATTCCTGAAAATAATAGGGACTCCGTTCCTCTAAAATAAGCCAAGAAAGAATTATGCAAGAATCTGAGACTGTCAAAATAATATTGATGCTCTATAAGTGCTAATAAGCCTAGATTATTGGTTATAACCAGGCAGTGGATTGGTAACTATGTATATCTGTATATTACCATGGACAAAGCTGGTATCAGGAAATAACAAGAAGAAACAGTTTCCAAACTAAGGCTAAGAGATGACAATATAACAACTTGCACACAGAAACAATGGATCCCAGAGCAGGGACAATATTTTTGTAAAGGCCTTAAACTAAGTTCAATTGAGGAAAACAATTTCAGTTCTGCCTTCCAATGCTGTTGATTTTGCAGATAAATTGAGCCCCAGGGAAGGAATTGCCACAAAGCAATCAACTTGCTTAAATCCCATTAACGATAATTGGAACCTTCCCACTCTGCCCCCATGTGCAATGTTAAATAAGTGCCCCTTAGCACTGGATCAACCCAAGTTTTACATATAAACTGCTCTTTGAGAACATGGCACTCTAGCCAAGATCTGGGATAAAGAGGAAGTTACAAAAAATGGAAAAAAAAGAAAAAAAGTGACACAGTTGCAACGGGAAAGCATTTGCAGTTTCCAGGATCTGTGTGTTCGGATAAGACATCCCAAGTTACAAGGGCAATGTAATGGTTTCGAGAGGAATTGGCCTACTTCGGGAAAGGTGCACTAACATCAAAAACTATGTTTGGATTGCACCTTAGAACAGCAAGGTAAGGTCCCAACTTCATCAGAGCCTGACCTGGAAGCTCCATTTGGGGGGACACCAGGGACAGCTGCCTTCCCATCCATGATTGTATGATCCAAGGAGCAGTTTGGGTACAAAAATGAGAAAGGCCAGCCTCCTCGCCCCACTGTCCCATGGCTTCAGAGGCTCAGCTCCACCAGGAACGTGGGGCTGGGACGAGCTGGCCACAATGCTGGGCGCCACAGCAACCAGACAGGAGCTCTGTCATATTGATTCTGAGTCCCAGAGCCAAACTCATATCAAGGTCATGTTATCAACATCCAGAACTCCCTGAACAAAGAGGCTGCTGGGATCACTATTAGGGTCTTTAAAACTAGAGATATCCATTTATTTAGAGACTGAAAAAAGTGCCCTAGAAAAATCAATATTCTTTATGGGCTCTCAATCAGAACAGTTTGAAAGACCCTCTTAAATCCAAGTGCAAGGTTGTACCAAGACTGTGAATCTTTAATTGAATGCTTGTTTTAGATGTGAAGTATTTTTTTTTTAAGAACATACTTTGAGAAGAGTTCTTTGAAATGAATGGAAGCAAAACAGTACCAGGGGCCAAGAGGTAGGGCAGTTAAGAATTTGCCTCTTGGGGATAGAAGCTGTACATAAAAAGAACTAGCAATGGCATAAAATATTCAGCTACTTAGAATCCAAGTTTCCTCTTAAATTCTAGATGGAAACTTATACCTCAGTGACAGTATTGAAAATATTATGTCAGCAGGAGAAGGTTCTTCTTGTTAGCAAGTTTTGAACATAAAATGCTTTTCCATCTCTTCCTGACCTGTTACATAACTTTAACAAGCTGATCGTTTCAGTTTCTAATACTGAGTCTACTTAATTTTAGGAGCTCAAGAAACCATTGCATTGTGTAATGTTGATGCATTTAGAAAGAGAACATGTGCTTATTTTTACCTTGCCATCTGGAACAGTGTCATCAAATATTCCCTCTAAAGATTTCTTTACAGCATCAGTTCCCTCACCGAACACCTGCACACACAAAAGTATCATCTTAAAAAGGAATCTGGGCAAAAGAGCAAATGAAGCATGAGAAGAAGAAGGCAAAATGGACATGGCTGTTACAAAATAGGACTCAGATACTCCCACACCCAATCCCAAAGCAGTTAAAAGAATCTATGGTGGCAGATCATTAGAAACAGGCCCCTCCACCTAGATCACATCTCATTTCTTTAACAATTAAAAAACGGTGGGTTTTGGATCTGCATCATTCATCTAAATTTAAAGAAAATAACCTTATAAAAGCAATGAACTAGATTTATTTTCAGTGAAGAATTTCTGCTATATAGACTCATTTACCTAATCATACATTTACCAATAACTAGTTTTGATTTTATAATCTGTGGAGAATGACTTGAGAAAATACAAGTATCAGCTCTTACTACAGAAAAGCTTTCTATTTAAAAATAGAAATTTGTCAAATCCTTAATATTTAATAAATCCTGCCAAAGTATAGATATGACTAGAATTGTAATTGGGTACTGATGTCAGCAGGTAGTCAAAACCTAAACATGCAGACATGGGAAAGTGTATATATTGCCCTACACACAGCATGTACAGGATAATATTCCCAATTTAGAAAAAGCCTTACTCCCAGCACAAATGAAAAATACAGAAACATTCAGTTTTTTGTCCATTTCAAAGCCCTGAATCAACTAGTAAATTTCTATTGGTCTACATATGGCTAAGCAAGATTTACTTTAAACTATTTTTAATTGGGGTACATTAGTTTACAACACTATATAGGTTTCAGATACACAGTTTCTCACCTCAGTAACTATATAGTTCACACCACGCCTACTGCCACATGTCCAGAACCATCCACCACTAACCAGTTGGCTCCCTTCATGCCTTGCCTCCCGTCCCTAGTAACCAGCATTCTGTATCAGAGTTTAAGGTGTATTAAATTCTTACTTTAAGAGGGAATGGCCACTACTGCTTATAAGACATGACAATGTCCTCTGATTGAAAAAAATAAAATATTTTCTTTTGGATTCATTTAAACTCAGTCATCTATTTTAGCCACAATGAGCTGTCACATAACCTGGGCCAATAAAATAGACCCACATGAACTAAGCTTTCTGATAGAAAAGAAGTTTAAACCAAGTTGCCAACTGCAAAGTCCTGACACATATTTATAGCATGGTCTGAGTCATCTGCCAAGGCAGAGGATATGTACAAAAGAACACCCCACCTCCCAGAAAGAGGGGAGAGAAGCTGGGTTAAACCTCCTTTCACAGGTTTAATCCAGAGCATCAAGTCTCTTGTGAGATTTTTTTCTGATGAGACACTAATTTTCCTCCAAATGGTTTCTGCTTCAGATTTACACAGAAGCAAAGCCACAGCCGCACATGGATGTTCTGCTCTCCCCTAAGACTAAGAACAAACTGCAGGTAGCTAAGTTGCAGGTTGTCTTTTCATCTGCTCATCTGCTCCCCTGCAAGTCCAGGTTTAAACGGCGAGCATGCTGGTCAGGTGAGGACTCAGCACATCAGCTTTCAGGATTCATTTCCCTTTTAAATTTCAGTTCTTAAGCACTGGGGGCTGGAGCTGTCAGAACAAATAATGAGGGACCTATCAAGTCAGCAATTGACTTCTCACTTTGCAGCAAGATACAGAAAGCAGAGGTCAAATGGGCATCTTAGGCATGACCTCCAAAATGCTCACTTTCCAGCCAGGTAGCCCCTGGATTAGAACTCCCGTTCTCCTGAGAGACCAACACTTGTGTTCCTTCAGTTCCCAAAACAGAGAGATACCAGCAGCCCTAGAGCCATGCATTTATCAAAGTCAAATAAAAATGATGGCAGTGACAGCAAAGATTTCCCCAGAAGTAGCCCCACAAATAAAGGAGTAAAATCAACAAGGTCACAGCAGTTAGCAGGGACCTGACACGGCACACTTAGGGGTGCCATTCATGTCCTGAGGTCCCTTCAAGCCCTACTAGCTGGGGAGAAGGGAGCCATGAATGAGTGAGCACTCTCAGAATCCGGTAGAAGAGGAGCTGTCCTTTTAATGCCAACCCCCAAAGAATCAAGGGCAAAGAAACAACCAGATTTCTCTGGAGGCTGCCTTTGATCCAGCGCCAGAGGCAGCTTAAAAGACTCTGTGTTTAGGTGCTCACTTGGCTTCACCATCAAGTTCTGCTTTTTTCTGAAGACTCTGGGATGAACTGTGCACTTTCAGGAAGTCTGAATTAACCAAGGTTTGGAAGGGTTGCAGGTAGAGACTGGAGCTTGGTGATAGACTAACAGCAGAGTTCAATGTTAGGGAAGCACATTGCCTATTAAAAGCATCTAACGCCACTCACTTCTTCGTGTCAATGATTTGATCTTAAATCAAACACATCAGTAAAGGAAGGTGCACACGACCACGCACACCATTGTGAGGTGGCCGGGAAGCAATCAGCACGTGCCTTGTCATCCCCTCTAGAACCGACCTGATTGATGCTTGGGCGTCCCTGCTTCTTTTTGGAGGTAGTGTCCAGACCCCAAAGAGAAGAAAACCTGCTTCTTCGTTTGCTTGCAGATCTGGACATAGCCTGAGTACGCCTTCTCACTCCAGTTTCACCAGTGCGCGCTGCCACCTGAGGACAGCAAGGAGCAGTGTCAATGAGATGAGTCTGGGGACCACCCGCCTGTCCCACAAGGTCCCCACTCAAGTCTTCAAAACCCCTCCCCCACTATCCATCCGGCCAGTCCATGCTGACACTACCACCCCGGCAACTAACCCACCACTCAAACAAATTGGGACTTTGAAGTCCTTGGTGGATTCAGCTATGGGAAGGTGGGATGGTCGGCAAACTCCATCAGGGTCTGAAATCACCAGCTCAAATACATAACAGAGTCACAGGATGGCAACAGTTTGTTCCCAAGAATCAGGTGCCCTACTGGTCACAGGATTAAACTCTTGCATCAAGTTGCAGTAATCAAAGAAAAATGGAGCTCGAGTGACACCCAAGCAGTGAAAATGGCACATTTTGCTTCCTATGATTCTGTGTGAATCTGAATTTACCAACATCTTCTATTAATTTCTTTAATAACGCCCCCCCCCAATCACTTTTGTTATCAGGCAAGTGGCGACTACTGCCCAGTATTATCTGTTCTCCTAGAAATTCAAAGAACCGCTGATGCAACTGAGCACATCTGGCCACCAAGGCGGGTCCTTTCACTGGTGTCAGGAGGTGGCCAGGAAGTACGCAGAAGGGGTGCCTGCCATTTCTGGGAATTGTCCCCAGAAGAGGGGTTTCCCATTACCCTTCACTTTCCTCTTTCCTGACGGAGGCAAGCGTACAGGTCAGCTAGCCTAGGACAGTGGGACGGAAGCCCTTCCAAGGCAAAGCAAGGGGGAGGGGCCTGAGTCGAGGAAAACAGAGACACCCCCTTATGAGACTTATATGTCCTGTGTTGAGGTAAAAATGGAATGAAAGTTATATTTTGGTTTTTTCTCTTTTAAAAAAGAAGCTAATCTCTGTTGAGATATTTTCAAGGTGCCACCAATGCTGACATATTTCAGAAGGAAGACCCCAGGACAATCTGTCCGGGGGGGCAGCTGAGTCCCTATGGGCATCCACAGAGCACGTCTCAAGAATACTCAGGCCTGAGCCTCATCCTCCAGCTGTGAGCCAAGTTGCAGAACTAGAGGCACCCTCTAGCAAAGTCTCCACAGGCCACCCACAGGCTCACCTTCAAAAAAGGGAGTGCCCGAGGGACAGAGAGTTAGACCTGAAGTGGAAGCTCCCCACCTGCTCTGCACTGTGGGAGAAGGTCTGCTGGGCACAGATTCCCACACAGGCCACTCCCAAGATGCCAGCTGCCAAGTGGCAGCCGTCTAAGGGCCCAAAATACTGGGGAACACGAGGGACCTACTCCGAGGGACCTACTTGAGTCGGCAGTGGTTTTTGGTAATGACAAGGCAAAACACCACAGACACCCCTGGAGTGCACAGGCCCAGACCCCCAGGGTTCACTAAAGACAGGAACCAAAACAGCATCTCTGCAGGAGGGGTAGGGAGGAGATTTGGATTCCAAATGAAAATAGGAAGAGGAGGGAGCTGAGAGGTCTGATGCTTTCTCAGTTTTTGCACAGGAGAAAAGCCAGAGGGGGCACCCGGGACAACAGCAGCCACGCTGGGGAGGAAGAGCTTTAATTAATCTAAGATCAGACTCGAGGTGTGGCAGGGAACAGAGTTGGACAACAAAAGGCGCCTGTTTACATTCAACATGCAAACATTTTCTCTATTGTCATCCCTTTCTAAGTTAAAGGTAAAGAAAGGTGGGAAAAGGCATGAACTGTCCTGCACTCACATCCACATAAGCTCGTGTGGCTGGGTCAGGATCACTTAAACCATCATCAAAAAAGGAGGCTAGCCACCACGGAGTAAGTGGTGTTCAAGTTAAGAATCCTAGAGAAAAATAATATCCACTGGGTCATACATGTATATGTCTACTTATATAAATAGGGAAATCTCTCCATCAATACAGAGACACATGTAGGCAGCCAGATAAATGGCATGATTTGCTTAAATATGTGAAAGTGATTACCATGTTTACTCTCTTGATAGCAACCATCAGTGGCTGCACTTACTGTGCTTATTTAACTGCTAACTTATGTATTATCTATCTCTCCTAGAAGATTATAAGCTCCAATAGGACAGGAACCTGGGGTGCTCACTGCAATAGTCCTACTTAGGGGGACACAGCCAGGAACTCACATGTATTTGTTGATCTGACTGAATAAACAAACAGACAAACATCCAAAAGCAAAAGCAGAGACGCTCCCTCACCTAGTGACCACAAAGAAAGTCGCTGTTTAGTACACAATTTCAGGACAGAAATTGTGCTGAAACTGAGTGGAATAGACTCTCAGTTATCAGCTGACCAGTTAGCCTAATCTGTTTAACAAACAGGCACTTGATTTATGATTCTTAGAGTAATTATTTGAAACTGTCATGGGCCGTGTAAACTGCAAAAGTAACTGCTACGCACCCAAGGACAATCATGACTTCAAATGAGCATAGGGGTTTAGAAAAATAGGAAAAGCTAGCCAAAGCTCGATGGGACAAAATCTCAAGAGTTTCTCAATGGTCTCTGCCCAGACAATGGCTCCCTTTGTGGCTGAAACCTGATGACTCTATCATTCTGCTCATCTGTGCAAACAAGAACAATGATAACCTTCTTTCAAAGAGTGCATTGGGGACCCTTCAGTTAATTACTGCAAATCACTGAGCTTTATGGGAAGCCCTCCTGGTGAATGGTACTTAAATTGTAGCTCCACTCTCCTCCCCTAGCCCTGTTAACCCTCCCACCTCCTCCTCCCATGCGCCCCCTCCGACTTAAAAGGAGAAAAAAAGGTCTGCACAAAGGCTAAATTGAAGAATCCCTCACCCCAAGGGGGAAAAAATTCTCTGGGGTCAAATGACAAGGAGAGGAGGGAAAAAATAAGTATCCAATAAATCAGGCTAACATTGCCTGCTTGGATCTTCCAGAGAAGCGGGAGCACATGGACACCCAATGGGCTTGCCTAACTTGTTCTGTCTGAAATCAAAGCTCTAGTGGAAAGAAGCCCTCGCTCCTTTCCAGATGCCCAGATTTGCATGGCCGCTGCACCCGCCAAAAAAGAACAAAGAAACAGTGAGTTGCACATATGGAATTAAATTCCCTTCCTTAAAATTACTGACCAAAAAAACCTAAGAGTCAACCAACCCTCCCACCCCTGCCTTCAGCTGGACTGATTTTAATAGCTGCCCATCAAAAGCGAAGTCCACACACATCACAGATATTGAGGCAGAGGAAATTAGAAGGTCTGGAGAGAAATTACGGGTATAAAATAAAACAAGGGTAATATGGTGGCTTTTACTTCCCCTTCCCAGAGAGGTTAGCTCCGATGGCTTTGAAGAAAATAATTAAAGCATGGAAGTTTTAGGTAGAAAGCAAAATCATTTTCTCCAAATTTGATCCAGCACGGGAAAAGAAAAGAGTCATTTGGATACCCAGGCTTTAGTATTCATATTAATGCCACACATCAAGAGAGCCCTTCATTAAAAGGCTCCTTTAATTTATGACATTCTTGCTTAGGGGAAGAAAAAAAAAAAAAAAACAAGAATTTTTAACCCCAATTTTATTTTTTGCAGAATAGCAAATTGAGATTTAGCTAAGTGACAAATTGGGTTCCAGGTCTCAGAGAAACAGTCAGAGACACAAGTGAAAACAGTTTGCAAGATGTATTCAACAAGGCACCCTGACCCAGCACTGCCTAAAAAAAAAAGGACTTAATAGCTGTAAGGAGAGGCGGCAGCCAGGGAGACCAAGAGCGGGACTATAATTAGCAGAACAAATAAGAATGCCAGTTTTAATAACTCCAGAAATTGGTTTAAGACTTCTTTAAAAATGTAAATCTACCCCTAATTATCTGAATGATGACGCTAATCTATTTATAAAGAATACAAACGCCTCTGACTGAATTACAGCTCTGAATTCAATGCAAGGGTACAGCTGACATGGCAAGACAAGAGCAGCACAGGGAAGGTTTTCCAAAGCAGTTTCTGGAACCCGAGACTAAACATTTAATTCCACAGCAAATGTGCGAAGGTGCGATACATTTCAAGAGGGGACTGGCTTGGTTAGTCTAAACTCATGTTACTCGCCCAACAATTTTTGAGAAGAAAGGAGCCAAAAGTACATAAAGCTGTTTGCAATTTAGTGAGTACATGAAATGACAGATTGCAAACACAGAACACAAGTATATAACCTGCCACCTTGGAGGTCATTTGGAAATTCTCCTCCCCAAGCAAATCCGTACGTTGAGCTAGTAAATCAGGAAAGCTCTCTGCCTTCCTCCAAGGCATCAGGTGTTTCTGGGCCTAAAGAGCTGATGGAATTGGAACATTTAAAATGAAGTGAAAAGGGAGATCTCCAAAGAGAGGTGTGTGCCTGTTTCGTGACAGAGACAGAGAGCATGCATTTATGCATGAGAGAGGCCCCCACTGACCACTTTCATTAATAGAAAAAAAAACATGTATTTGGATTAAAGACAGGTCATGAACTGTTACAGGGCAGGATGAGGGGCACCCCAAGACTCCCAAACCCGCCTGCGCTAAATAGGTTCTGCCATCCGCTGCATCAAGATAAAACATACTCTAGTGCGTAAGCCCTTTAATGGAAAGAAACTTTAATACAATTAGTGTGCTATAAAAAGAAGGGGAAGAATAGATGAAATAGTTTCCAAATCAAGCGCCCAAAGTTACCCATCCCCTCGTGGGTAACTGCCCAGCCAAACAGGGCTGGCCCAAAGTAGGCCACTGAGGCCCAAAAGCCTGCCACAAGTCTGTGGCACCTCCTGGGGGGGGCCCAGAGGAAAGAGGCAGAAGGGGCCCGGCACATCTGGGACAGAGGAGGGAAAAAAAAATCAAGATAAAAGCTGCCATTGTTGACCTCCCCACGGTCTCTCACCCACGTTTGTTTCAATCAGTCCAAGGCCAAGAAGCAGGTGCAGCTTCTTCACGTGTCTCTGCTCCATGTGCCTCCTCCAGGCCTACTTCTGGCTCTCCATCTTTCCTCCTTCCTTCTCCAGTCTTGTGCTCCCTGCTCACCTCCACCCTTCCTTGGGTGGTGCAGGGAATCTAGACCCTCCTCTTTCCCTGGGGACCACCCTGTTACAGAACTAAAGATGACATGCCCTGTCACAAACACTGCATGCCAGCATCTCTTAAGAGTCTACCTTTCACGTTTTCTTTGCATGATCATCTCGGCCCCAGCAAGACAGGCTGAAGTGATACATTTCCAAAAAGATTCAAATGAAAAATTTGCATCCACTGCTGAGGGCAGACACTGTCAGACTCACCCACAGCAATCCACTAGGAAAACACTGCTTGACTCTTGTCAAGTCCTGCTCAGGACTTGACTCAGTCAAGTCCTGCCAAAGTGGATATTTCTCAAAACTACATCAGCTTCTACTCACCAGGGCATGAAAAGACGACACAGAGAAGATTCCAAGGCGGCCCATTGCCACTTTCGTCGGTCGGCTTGCAAAAGCGAGCAGCCTTTTGGGATTCGGCAGCTCCCCACCTTGGAGACTAGCTAAATAACAGCGGTAACGAAATAGGTCCATTTGGAACTGTTCCAGGTTTTGCTCCCAAACAAAGATCTACAGTGGTGAAAACAAAGAAAGAAAAAAAAGTGAGAACAAGAGAAAACCAATACTAGCAAATTTATCCTACTACACAAATATTATAAATCTGTACATTGTGAAGTTATTCATTCTAATCCTAAGGGATGAGCTTCAGGAACCCTAAGTTTCCTCAGTAATAGCAGATGCTATTGGTTTCATAGTTTCTCCATTCTTCTGCAAAGACCAATGGCCATAAATTCCACATGATGAAGAGAAAGTACATTCATTGCTCTGTGTGCCCCTCGCCCCAGATACCATGTTAGTGGCCATGACTGTCCAGAGCTCCGAGTTCTGGGTCACAAACCCATGCAGAAAAAGTAAAACAGGGGGTTCCCAGCTGTATGATGTACGACGAGGTGCTTTTCATGGGAAGACAGAGCAGAAAAGTGAGGTGAATTACAGCTCAGAGGTAGACAGACCAAGAGCTTATGGGAGCGGAGGGAGAGGGAGAGGGGGCTGCACTGGATGTTGGAGACCCAGACACCGGGACATAGGCAGATCCATGATACTGCTTCATTTTTCAAAGAGGCAAAATAGCACCCGCCTCCTAAGGTTGGTGTGAGGTTCACATAAGGTAGCACAAGAAAACGATTTGGTTCAGGGACTGACAGATAACGACGGCTCGGGTACGCCAGGGGTGACACAGTGATTAATGGTTGAGTCCTTTGACTTCAACTTAAAATAGAGTGTGAGTGTGCATGTGAGCTCGGACTCCTCTTACAACAACCAGAAATGGAAACAGCCCAAATGTCCATCAACTGATGAACAGAGAAACATGGTGTGTTCACACACACAGTGAGGTCATATTTGGCCACAAAAAGGAATGAACCACTGGCAGGTGCTACAGGGGGCTCAGTCTCCAAAGCAAAGGTCAGTCACCAAAGGTCACACAGTGTGCAATTCCACGTGGATGAAATATCCAACACAGGCAAATCTAAGGATGAGCATGCCGGGGCCCTGGGGTGCTTCCTTCTGGGGTGGAGGACAATGTTTGGGAAGCAGCTAGAGGTGCTGGTTGCAGTTGTGCATGTACTAAATGCCAATGAATTGCACACGTCAACATGTTTAATTTTAGGTTATGTGAATGTTGCTGCAATTGAAAATAAAATAGTGTCAAATGACAGAGGAGAAGAATAGGAGAGAAATAGGAAATATCCTGTGCTGACCAGGTCATCCACAGTTCAATCACTTAAATAGCATTTGTTTACATTATTTGTATGTGTGTGTGTGTGTGTGTGTGTGTGCACTTGTGCATCTGTATTTCTCCTTGGAATCTATCCAGCAGTGTAATGGCTGAACTCTGTATCAGTGGAAGTTGAATTTTTTTGTAAGTATATATTTTCTTTTTTATACAAGTATATATTTTCTATACCTATATATTTTCTATATTTCATTTTTCTATATTTTCTGTTTCTGTTTTCTATATTTTATTTTTCTATAAGTAGATATTTTATGTAAGGATATATTTGCTGGGTTTTTTTTAATCGCGGTAATGCTTCTTATTGGTATTTTGTTCACATGATTATGTTCTAGACATCAGGACAAAGTTTCAAGGCTTTCTTAGATGAGTATCTCCGGCTTTATATCAACCAAGTGTTGCGAGCTCACGACAGCTTCCCGTGATAGCGTGGAAGATGCTTACGCCACACACACACAGCAGTGACAGGGACCCTTTTCCAAATACTCCCTTGTCTCAATTTAGAATTCTAAATGTCTGGAGGGGTCAGTTATGCATCCCCAGCTCCATGGAGCTCCAAGTCATCTAAAAAGTGGAGACTAAGTGCAGCCCATGCTGTTACAGACACCATCGGGGGAGCCGGCAGGCCCCTCCACCAATGTCAGCCTCCTGTTCATGCAATGTTGTTCCTTCCGCTCATAACAATCAATAGTGAACAATGGGTGAGAAAACTGACAGTCACGATAAAGAATTTAGCAGCCTGGATGACAAGCTGACAAGGAGCAAAGCGATGCTGTTCTGGATTCTCAGGCAAGAACAGTGTAAAGACATCACGATTCCAGCCCCACCTGAACCCGGCAGACCGTTCACCTGATCTAGTATCGTTTTCTTCTTCTTTGAGTCGGTGACTGAAGACAGCTGCATTTCTCCCATCTTCTTCATCTTCTCGTCCATGTCAATCTTCTGTTCCAGCTTTTTGATTTCTGACTTGAGGAGCCGGAGTGTGTCTTCTTTGTGGTGGTGTCTGGCGACAGCCGCTGCACAGGCAGAATGAATGGCGGTGATCCAGTTTTCAAGCTCCGTCTGGCTGGTGGTCTGTAAGGGGGAAGGTAGAGGCCAAGAAGAAAGAGACAGCCCTTAGGTCATCAGCCAGAGATACCTGCCCACAGTCAAGAGACAGTCAAGAAAGCATTTGCAGGTGCACTAGGGAGGGCTGCCCTTCCTGACCAACTTTGGACAATCAATGAAATGAGCTAGCCTTGGGGCAGACACCCACCCCCATAATAGCCTTAGGATAGACACCACCACCACACCACCACCCCCACAGTCCCAAGGGCTGTCTGAAAGGGGGCCCCCTATCTGTGTTCTCTCCGTTTTTATTGAACTCACTCGTTACAATGGACTGAATGTGTCCCTTCAAAATTCAAATATTGCAACCCTAACCATGGGAGTGATGGTATCAGGAGGGGGGACCTCTGGGAGGTGATGAGGTCATGAGGGTGGGCACCACATGAAGGGGATTAGTGCCCTAATATAAATGAGGCCCCACAGGGCATCAGGAGGTATGCCACAACAGAACCCGACCCGGCTGGCACCTTCCTGATCTTGGAAGAATGTGAGAAATGTCTGTCATCCCTAAGCTACTCTGTCTATGGCAGTTTGTGATAGCAGCACGAATTAAGACATCAGTGTATGCCATATTCCTACACTGACAGCTTGGAATCTAGTTAAGTTTAAGAGGGTTGCTTAGGAGCAAAGGCCGATGTCCAGAGAGGATGGTCAGTCCCGAAGTAAGGGTGAGCCTGAGGGAGATGGTGAGTCAAGAAGACACAACACATCAGTCCTTAGTGAACACCTGTGATCCAAATTCAAGGTCAACACCCAAGTTAGGCAGCGACCACACAAGCTTGGGGACATAGCTCTGGGCAGCCAGAAGTAGTATTGTCTTAAGGGGAAACACAAGGAAGTTACTAGCAATAGCAGCTCCCTGGCCCTGGATGGGAGACTTAAGGACGACATTGGAGGACATTTGCCACTGGGCGGATATTCTCCGTGGGTTTGCTGTGACTCGGGGTGCTCCAAAGGCCAAAGTCAGAGACCAGTCTGGGAAGGACAGGTCATGTGTCACAATGTGCTATTGCTAATTCTGTAGGAACTCAGTCCATTAAGTGAGGCAGTACTAGACTTCCAGATATTCCCTTCAGTTCAGAGAAGTTGAACAGATGCTCAGAACTTCATCTATCTGAAGAAAGGGTCTATTCAGTCATGGAAATCCTAAAGGAGCTGCCAACATCTTTTTTTTCAAGCACAGAACACTGATTTGTTTTTCTCTGATGGATCTTCTTGGTTTTCTAACTCATTGGAGTGATGGTTTGCAAACATAGTTCTATTAATGGGCCCCCCACCCACACACTACGCTGGCAAGTAAAATTTAAGTCAGATCCTCATGGCAGGTGTCTTTAGTATTTCTGAATCTCACCAGGGGTGTATCCCACAAAAGAAACAGCACCAAATATGATAAATGGTGTCTGCCAACAGTGCCACCGCACACTGGGACTCCCAACCAATCCGGCAGTATTTTTATTTATAATATAGTATTTGCTAGTGTCTACAGAAGATATGGATGGCTAGACATCCGTACAAAGAAACAGCAGAAGTCCACCTGAGAAAGCAAATGGAAGACAGGAAGGAGAAAAAGAGACAACAACACTAGAAGTCAGACAGGTAAATGAACACTTGGGGATACTCAGAGGGGCGTGTCCATGACTGCATGAGATGCATCCTTGACTCAACTTTGTTTCAAATTTTTAATATTTTTCTTCCCTTGGAAAGTCATTATTTGACCTTTTATCTTTAGGTATCACTTTAATGTGACTCAAGAAAAGCAGAGCTGATAATCCTCCCAAATACCAGAACTATCTGCCTAGAACAACATACAGTGTCTGACCTTGCAGTCTCTTGATATCTCAACATTAGTGGGTATTTTGCTATGTGGGGTTATTTTTCTGCTTTGGTTATTTATTAGAAAAGCAATCAGCTCAGATGGAAGAACAATCCAGTAAGGATCGGTTCTCAAAGAACGTCTGGCTAGTATCCAAGAAGAAAATACCAAGTGTTGACAAAGATATGGAACAACCAGAATTCTTACATGGTGCCAGCTGCTCGCTGGAGAGTGAGTAAGCTGGCAGAACTGCTTTGGAAAGCTGTTTGGCACCACCCACTAAAAATGACTATGTAAGTCTTGTAAACCACCCTCCCGCCAAATGCACTACTGAGTATATACCTACCAGAAATGCATTTGTATGTTAACCAGAATGTGGATACCCAAAATGTTCACAGCAACATAATTTGTAATGGGTAAAACTGGAAACAATCCAAACATTTGTCAACAGAATGGATGTATGATATAATCACATAATGAAATACTACACAGCAATGAGAATAAAAGGCCAATCACTACACACTGCATTAGGAATAAATCTCACACATGGCATTGAGGAAAGATGCCACACAAACACACGTATGGACCATAAGATTCCATTGATATAAACTAATATATACTGTTAGGAATCAGACGGACTTTGATATAAATGGGGAGAGTGGTAGCAACTGGAAGGAAACATGGGGTGGGGGTGTTCTGGGATGCTGGCCACATTCCACGTGCTAGTTACGTGAATGTATGACACGGGGGTGCCCAGCTGGTGAAGCATCATCAAAATATATACTTTTCTGTGTCTATGTTTTACTTTTATAGAAAGTTTTTAAATAGTTCATGATATATTACTGCACAATTTAATTTTTCTGTGACTTCTCTAAAAATATTGCATTTCAGATTCTAGTTTTCATTACGAATTGGCCCTATAAGAAGTCCCAAGTACATGCCCCTTCAGCATCTCACTTCTGTCCTCCTAAGTGCCTGGGCATCTGATAAACAGCTGGCTGCCTCTGCCAAAATGAGGCTGGATGTACAGCTCGGTGTAAATAGGACTTAAGGGGAGAGGATGCTTTCACCTATTTTGAAAGGATACTGTGTGGTATGTCAGACTCAATGCAGGCAACAGACACATGTGCCTCAAAGCAGAAAGGCTAAACCACCTGGCACATCCATTGCCCTGGGACACCCCTCACTCATCCCCCGTCTGCCAGAGCCCTCCTCTCTCACCTACCCCACAACTCATGGAGCAAGGGAAGGAAATACTGATATACTATCTCAGGAACAAATTGTATGAAAAGGTTAAAATCTTTCAAACTCTGCTAAAGCCAAGTTACAAACTTATCATGTAAAACAACAAAATAATTTCATTTTAAAAGTCCTCAAGTAACTGTTTTATAGAAAGAGAAAATAAAGCTGGGAAACACTGGGAATGACACTCACAGCCACTCATTATAAACTCCAATCTGTTCCATTGTTATACACTGTAATGTTTATTTATTCTGTTACATGACACCCTATCCCTCCACTGGGTGTCCACTGCTCTAGAAGCCTCTAGTGTGGTCACCCATTAATCTGAGCTCTCCCTAAGAATGTAGGTGGATGGAACTTTCCTGCTTCCTCTGAAGTTGGGCATGGCCATGTCACTTATCAAACGCCTGATTCACCCTACTCTGTCCCTTTGCTCATGGTGATGGATGTGTGTAAACAAGACAGAGTATCTGTCACCCAAGTCCATGAGACTCCAGGACAACTACAGGTCCATTATCAATGTCCAGCAGACACCATGGAGCAATTAAAAAGTATGGTAAGCATAAAGGTTTAGGAGCTACTCCTTATTGCAGCGTAATTTCACACACCCTGACTGATCTGCTAGTGAAGTAAAAATTCCATTGTAAAACATCCAAGGCTTTTAAAAGAAAATAATCTATATGATACATTTTAAGCCTCCAAGAAGAGCCACAATCTGAGAGTTTCTGTACAACAGCAACCTTTTCTCTCTTCTCTCCATCTGTGAGGATCTCAGCCACGCTCTATTCTCATTCTGGGGAGGTTATGTCTGCCTCCCAGGTAAGACACAGAAATGAAGGAAGCTCTACCAGTCAATGGTAGTGAACATCCTTCAAAAGGTGTATGTTTAATGTTGTCAAAGCAGCCACTGTGAAATTTATTCAAAAGCGACAAGATGGTAGCTACCTGGGGCTGGGGAAGTGAGGAATGGGGAATTTGTGTAGACGGGGCAGAGTTTGAGGTCTGCAGACAGATGTTGGTGATGGTGCACAACAATGAGAATGGACTTAGTGCCTCTTAAAGATAGTTAAGAGGACATGTTATGTCAAATTCACTACAATTAATTTTTTAAATAAAGTAAAAAGGAAGGAAAAACTCCACCAAGTCCCATAACCTAAAGAAACACAGGCAGAAAAGCAGGATCACAGCTTTATGAAAAATTTATCAAGCAGTTCATTGAAAAATGAAGTGTACCTTCCAGCTTCTAAATGCCTTTAAAACCTGTCAATGGCTGAAGGTAGTGCCATGGGAGAGAATTTTGGCTCCTGCTGTCCTGTCTAAATAAAACAGCAGTCTCTGCCATTCTCTAGCATTAAGCCAAATCAATTTCTAAGAAGCACAATTCATTAAATGAGCTTTTCATCAGAGTTTGTCCTTTTTCAGGGGCTTACAGGAAGGGTTCCACGAAAGGGTGGGCAGAGTCAGGCTGAGTGCTGTCAACAGCGTGTCAAATAGCAAAACTCTTGTAACAGTTCAGGTATTTACATACTTAACACAGAGCTGATGGCCCAGACCACTAACACCATACAGTATTCGCCCACACCGGCTCTTTAGCATTTAAATTCTTTCCTTTAGAATTTTATTTAGGCAAAGTTGGTTTACGGCACTGTACATGATTTGAAGGCATAGGCTCACACCACTACAGGTGTATGCACCACACCGCATCCCCACGTCCCCCAGCCAAAGCACCCACAGTCTTCCACCAACCCTCCATTGACCCTCTGCTCCTTGCTCCCTTCTGACATGCTAGAAAGGCTTTACCAAGGTGCCCACCTAGCCTTGCCTTCTTGAACCAGGCAAGTTTAATCAGAGACATCAGGTCGACCAGAAGGCCCTTCCTCAGAAACAGTGTACCAGTGGTACCCCCAGCTTG